TTTGCTGCTGGATTTCTGAGATCTTGACTATTATATGTTTCAGTGTGTTTTTAATTGGTTTGATGTTATTTGGAGTTCTATATAATTCGCTTACCTGAATGTCAGATTGTTTCCACATATTTGGGAAGTTTTTTGCTGTTACTTTTGCCCATATTCTTTTTATATCATTTTTATTGACAATTTCTTTCTCACTGATGCATATTTGTCTCACGTTATTCATCTTTGCATGTCCTGAAGGTGATGAATTTTTTTTTCCTGCATCCTAGTTGTTTTTAAGAGATCTTTTCTTACCTTTTCTCGAGCTGTGATGTTTCAGATCTTCAAGATCTGAATCTCTGTTATCACTTTCACTCAAACGGTTTTGCAAGCTTGTGGTTGAGATTTTAAGTTCCTCTATATCTCTTTCACTCTGCTTCCTGTGAGCTATTCCTTTCCTATATTTCTCATTGAAGGTTTTCATCATTTTTCTATACTCTTCTAATTTTTTTATCATTGTCTCAGAAGCAGTTATTAATTCTTTCATTATAGTTATCCTTTCTTTTTTTACTTCAGAGATTATTTCTGCTCTGATTTTCTTTTCATTTTCCTTTTTTTTTTTTTTTTCAGAATCAGGGATTGAACTCAGATCATGCATTTACCAGTCAAGCACTTATCCTACTGAGCCATCTCCCCCCGCCCCTCTGATTTTCTATATATGTTTCTGTAGTTGATTCTTTACTTCACATGCTAATAAATCAGATATATTTTTATTTCAGTGGTTATTTCTGATCTGAGTTCCTCTATACCTTTATGCCTTCTGTAGTTGTTTCTTTGCTTCAGATGCTATTAATTCAGACATTGCAGCTGTGTGATTCCAAATTTCTTCTCTCCTAGTGTCTTCTGCATTAGTTCTGGGTCATCTGTGGGCCTGAGATTGCATATTGCTCCTTTTTTCCAATTTGTATAGCACTGCCTTTGACCTCTGGCATAGAGGTTTGGTGTAGTTTCAACCTTAGCACCTACTAAAATTCTTACCCAAGAGAGATTATACTGTTAAGGTAGTTATACTTTTGTGTTTACAGAACTACAATAAGGAACACTAATAATGGCTAATGATATTTAGCAGTTGACAAACTTTTGTAAGTAATGGCTTTGTATTTTAGACATTAAGAGCAATCATTATGTCTGTATACAAAGCAGATATTAAGTTGGGAATTTGTAGCTCTGTTAGTGCTGCTATGTTCTCTCTGATCACCTCCTGTTGATGAACTTGTTCTTTTCCAGGCAGACTAGTTCTTCCTGTTTTCCTTTTGTCCCCTCTCAGTCAAGAGAGAAAGAGGGAGGATGCTCTTATAGACCTGGGTCTAGAAAAGCATCTCATCTTACCAGGTGCAGATCTACTACGTTTAAATTCATCCAGTTGGGTCTGGCTACCATGCTCAGCTTCTTCCTGCCTCAGCCCTACGAAGTGAACCTGTTTTGCCTCTCTGGCAAGATGTTCTGCTCATGGATTAGCTGGGTGGTTCTGGCCCCCAGCCTCTCTGCAGGGACTTCCGCTGCAGAGTTTCACACCAAACCTGTATGCCAGGCCTGGGCTGGTCTGGAGGGATCCAGAGAGCAGGACAGAAGTACTCACTCACAAGTTGGGCTTGGGCTGAGTCTGGAGGGATCCAGTGGGCTCAGAGGAACATGGAAGGTGTCTCACACACACCAGGCCTGGGCTGCATGTGGAGGGTTCCTGAGAGTGCAGCAGAAGTATTCTCTCACTCACCAGGCCTGGGCTGGTTCTGCAGGGGATAAGAGGGGTCCCAAGAGCACCACTGAATGTCTCACTCACACCTCATCTCTTTATCTTCTACACTTAATAACAAAGTGAAAAGGTGTCATACATGAAAGAATTTTATAAACAATATCTCAGTTGCAATTTTCCCTTTTCAATGTCCACATGCACTATACAATATTACATGGCTAACATTTATTTTTATGAAAATTCTTAGAACGAACAAGATGCCATCCATTTATGGGTCTCCCTTCTCCCTTCAACCTGGTCTCATGGTTAAGAATTGAGATGGTAAGGAGACACTCAGATCCATCTGACACTTCTTTTGCTATGGTAGGGACTTGGCCCAATGACCAGAAACTTCACCCAAAAGAAGAGGCTGTAATTTCACCCCATGCTAAAGCCAATTCTCCGAAGGTCTGGAATTCACAGAAGTAGTGGTTTGAATTGCACATTGTAACTGGGTCCTGATGGCAACAGGAACACAAATATGGCTTTGTAGACATATATTGCAGAGATATTGGCCTGAACTGATAATGCTTCACTATAGCCAGGCCATGATCTTACCCTGTAATAGGTCCTCAGGGATTAGATTGAGTCTCTGAGGTTGACAATGCACAGGTGTCACTCCCTGGATGTTGACATTCCTTCTCCTTCCAGATACCTCAGGATGAGCATGCACAGCACACCACCTCCTCTGTACAAGCTGGTGAAGAACAGCCTGCTGAAGAGTCAGACAATAGCCAGCACTGCTCTGCATGATCTGCCCCCACACATCTACCACGACTTGTTCATGGATGCCTTCATGGGTGAACACAATGAGTTCTTGAAGGTGATGGTGCAGGCCTGGCCATTCCCCTCCCTCCCCTTGAGAGCCCTAGTGGATCTGAGGAAATCCAAGGACGCACACACTCAGTATGGAGTAATCCTACCACAACAGAGAAACCTACGGACTCTAAAAGCCATACTGCATGGAATTGATACGAAGTTGTCTCAGAAGGTTCAGGACAGGTGAGCAGAATATATCAATACCAGAAAGATGGGACAGGTATTCTAGAGAAGAGACAGTTGCTCTCATGGAACTAGAAAATCAGAAGTCTGTAACAGTTTGTGAAGTTGAGAACCACAGAGGTCTTGAATTTTGATGAGTATCCCCTGGAAAGTGGTTTCTTGCTAAGAGGGCCACATATATAGTATACAGTGAATGCAGGAGGAACCTGCATTGTCAACCCCTCAAAGAAACTAGATGGCAAGCCATGCTGCCTGAAAGATGAATAGGCTAGAAAATAAATTCAAGAAAGATGGAGAGGCAGCTGAGGCCCAGGAAGAGGAAAAGCAAGACAGGAAAGAATTTGAGTTTTTATCTGAATTCTGACACTGCTTCCTCTTTTGCCCACAGCAGGTGGAAACTTCAGGTGCTGGACTGGAGGAATGTACACCAGGACTTCTGGACTGTAGGGCCCAGAGCCAGGAGTGTCACCAATTCAGCAGATGCCAGGAGTCAGGGCACAAGCAAGCATATATTAAACAAGAAAATGTTCACCTTGAGAATATTAGCACAAATTAATTTTGAAAACTGTGGTTCATCTTATGCCACACAAGACGAATTACTACTTTGCCTCTTGAACTGGGCCCAGAAGAGAAAAGCTTCAATACAACTATGCTGTGAGAAGGTGACCATCTATTCCTCGGCTGCCTTCGATGTCCTCAAGATTCTTCGGTCTGTGGAGTTGGACTCAATCCATGAGCTGGACGTGTTGAGTGACTGGAGTCCAAATACCATGACAGCATTTGCTCATAAGCTCAAGAAGATGAAAAACCTTCACACATTTCAGTTCAGCACTCTGAGTGCAGGAGTTTCCCTGTCATTATCTGAAAAAAAGTGGTATTCCCGTATCTATGCGAACCATTTAAGACAGCTGCACAGTCTCCGGGAGCTTCACCTAGATAAAGTCCACTTTCTGCGTGGAAATCTGCATAAGATCTTGGGGTGAGTTACCTATACATTCACGGTTACCATAGATAAGAAGAGAGCATCTGTGGGCCCCACAGATGTCCTTGGTGAGGATACTAGGAAGTGGAAAAGACAACATATTTTGGGACATAGTACGATCTCATTTAGCCACCCATGTGAAGGCAGATCCTACACTCAGAGGGGAATCTGGGAGCAGCTCCATGTCCAGAAACCCCAGGAGCTGGCACAATGAGGTATTTTTGATTTCCTCCTGGGGAAGCAGGTCTAGCTAGGATGCCAGGAAGGGTGAAGGGAAACCTTCAAGGTGGGGCACGTGAAAAATTGAATGTCTGTAAAGCTGTAATGGGAAGTAAAACAGTGTCTATGTGCTTTAGAAATGGTAACTGCAAGATTAGATTCATTTTTCAGGGATAGAAAAAGAAGTTAAATATCCACAAGTGTAGAAAAGCACTATTTTACCTCACATTTCATAGAGGCTTTTTTTTGTCCCTAGTCAGCTATCATGTCCATAATGCAGCCAATTACACGAAACCCCATAATAAGCTTAAACGACTTTCTAGGAACAGGAAATTAAAAGCCATAATTGCACACAACCAGGAAAAATTGCAGATAGAAACCACAGAATTCTTCAGCCTAGGATTTGAAGGAGGAGTGCAGGTATAAGACAGGAATAAAGGACTTCCTGGGGGAACAGGGCCAAGTTCAGGCCATTGTTCAAATCTGCCTGTTTCCACTCTTTCATCAAATAACTCACTGGAGAATCTGTGCAGATCTTTAATTTGCTCCATGCCACTGAGCACAGGACAGAAATGTGGACTGAGCTAAGCACACAGGTGATGGCAATTTGAAGGGATCAATGTCTTCAACACACACCATCTCTGTGATCATCAGGAGTAAGGGTTTTGTTGGACCTCAACAGGCTCTCCTAACTATCAGCCATTCTATGGCACCTAGTCATCACCTCATTCATACAAAATACCTTTCCCTCTCTACAGGAACAAGATTTGCTTGGAGGTCCTCTCCATGAATTCAAGTCCACTATATGAATCTGATCTGAGACATCTGTCCCAATGTGCAAGCACAAGCCAGCTCAAGTCTCTGACTGTTAGGATGATTTCAATGAAATCGTTCAATTTTGAGACCATCCAGGTTCTGCTAGATAAACTCGCCAACACGCTAGAGAACTTGGCGTTAGAGCACTGTGACATCACAGACTCCCAGATACTGGCCATCTTGCCTGCGCTTAGCAACTGCTCCCACCTCAAGACTTTCAGTTGCTATGGGAACCCCTTATCCCTGGGCATCCTTCAGGTCCTGCTGTGCCGAATTGCTGGACTGAGTCATTTAAATGAGTGTCTGTATCCTGCACCCCTGGAGAGCTATGAACACAATATCCCGACAGAGTCCTTGCACCCTCAGAGATTTTCCCAGGTCTGTGCTGCGCTCATAGAGATCTTGAAGGATATAAGACCATCTCTTAGGATCAAGATCTACACCTACTTCTGGGATTTGTGCATAATATATAGGCTCCAAAGACTTGAGTCAAATGGGAACTGGGAAGTCACAGAAGAGCAACGCTACTGAAGGCACGTTCAATGCCACCATTCCACGTATCTGTGGATCCCCACTTTGATGATGACATTTTCTCAAACTCCATATCTGCCCAAAGCAACCTAGACTGGCAGGTGGTGTCTCGGGAGGTGAGGGCACCTTTGTGCCTGGCTCTCTGCACTGGATGAGTTCAATGACTTTATAGTTTGTGATGCTAAAAGCGAATCCAGTTCAACTATCTGCTTCCAACCAGCACACAACAAGCTGTTTGCCTTCTACTATGTACCTCTCCCATGTTGGCTTATGAACTGAATTGTTAGGCAAAATAAATCTTTCATCTTTGAAACTGTTCTCCCTTGTGTCACCCTAACAGGAGCAGTAGCGAAGACACGCATGTCGGTCTTGTATGGAAAATGTTCAAATGCTCGTAAAATTGACCTCACATGTAAAGCAAATACATGTTGTGTTCATTTCAGAAATATTTCTCTAAAAATCACTCTGTCTACATCTTATATCTTTCAAATTTCAATATTTGTCTACAATTTTTAATATGATATGTAATTATTGATTTTTAATAAAGTTAAGGAAAACATAAAGCAAGTACATGTCTATAATCTCATAACTTTGGACGCTGAGATCTGAAGGTCAGCTTGAGTTTGCCACCAGCTTAGCTACGCACTGAGACCCTGTCTCAAATATAAATGAAAGCATAGACTGAAAAATAAAGTGAATTTTCAGATAAACATTTTAAAATCCCTCAGTGACTTGATTATTCAATTTATTCATTTGATAACTTTTTATGTATTAGTAGATTTGCCATTCATAATAATTGCATTTGTTGTATCTAGGGGAGATTTTATTTTCTCTTTTTGCCTCCGCAGGCAACTGAATTGAGGATCATCACACTAAGGTATCTCTGACCATATGTTACTGTTGTTTTATTTTTTTAATTTTTCATTTAATATGATTACACAGCTTAATGTTCACATTCATTATGTTGGTACACATAAATAATATATCTTAACTATATTGATGGTCAAGCCCTCCACTTCAATATATTGGTCTTCTCCCATTTGCCAAAGTATTTATTTCATCTCAAAAGGAGTTAAGTTACCCAGACTAGTTTCAGACCTGGAATCCTCCTATCTCTGCCTTCAAGGCTTGTGCAATTACAGGCCTGAAGTATCACCCTGACCCAGACTTTCCACTCTGTCCTGAGAAATTTCCATTGGTTAGATATCAAAAAGCCATTGGATTATAGCATTCCCATGGGGGCAGGTTGTAGGATTTCCAGTCACAATAATGACAAGCTATCTTGCAAATACTCTGTGCATTTCATCAGTGCTTGAGATAGACACTGGGGTCTCAACAATGCCAGGCCAGTGGTGTGCCATGGAGCTGGACTCCCAGCAACTGTGGCTTTTGTTTCCTTCCCTGGAAAAAAAATCTGGTATCTCCTTGTTTAATTACTGTTTGATTGATTGATCAATTAATTCAGTGCTTCCACAGTGGTCCTGTCTACACTCTCAGGATGGCTTGATTCACTTGTGTTAGGAGCTTCTGAAGTTGAAAATTTTTCATATGTTTGAAGTCCGGATGACCCAGAATGCCTAAAGTAGTTAAGCTATATCAGTCTTAAGAAAAAAATCCTACCTGGCCAATTTCAGCTGTGAGTCACTAGACAAAATTATATCACCAGATAGTAATTTTGAAAAAGTGCCAATAAATGTCCCTACTGTCCTTGGAGTCACTTGCCTATCAGCCGATGGGCCACCTCCCAACCCATAACTTGTATTCTTTTCTGCATTCTGCTCATTTCTTCTGCCCTGTCTCCCTGTAGTACACAAAGGGTCTAACTTATTCCTACATTTAGCAGTTGAACAGAGCCCCAATAAGAGACAAGTGACCAAGAGAAAGACTTCCTGAGGATGTGCAACAGGAAAAGAAAGCTAACTTCTTGGAGCCAGTATTCAGGACAGGTGTGCAGAGGTATTGACATCATCAGGAATAAAGCAGTGGGACACAGGTACATTAGGGCCAAAAGTGGGTCCAGTAGTGTCAGAAACAGGTTCAATAGGGGCAGAGAGATAAAGGAGCTTTCAAAAAATCTGAAAGAGAGAATTAGGCAAAATTACATGTAGTTAAACATGGGACAAGTAGAGTCTCAAGAATCACACAGGTATACATATGTAAAGGTCATTCTCACATGCTTGATTCCTAAAAGTCCTTTTCATTCCTAGGTTCTCATTAATAAGCACTTTACACCTATGATATATTTTACTCAGGGATCTCCTTTAAAATCAAATCCCAAGCCTGAAGGGGATAGGGAGGATAAAAGAAAGATACATCACATAGAGTTTCAACTGTCTAGCTTTACTCAATTAGATAAAAAGAAAAACAATCATATAAATTAGGAGTTGCTAGTTCCAAGGGTCCTGTTTCTGCTACAATGGATGGACCACAGGCTAGCTCAGGCAAACACAAGTGTTGTGGTCCCTGGCAGACCCAGCAATGATTCCCACCCACCCATGGATCTACAGGACTGGTGCAATCAAAAATGTTGGCAAGTACACAAAGCTAGACTTCTGTGTGCCTGGGGTTAAGTAGGAGGGCCGGTGTTATGGGACAACATAACCTCAATCTTTGCTATGCACGTTGCTTCCACCAGCAGTCAGTTTGCTTCAAGATAGTGCCTGCCTCGGTAAAAACAGCACATCAAGTAGTCAAAGGCAGAGCAACAGCTGGTACACACAGCGGCTATGCACAGCAACCATGGCTACAGGACCGTAGACCCTTGTCTCATGGGGAGGGAAAATGGAGGTGACACAGCCCATTTCATGTACTAGCCGCTTGCAAGCCCCACCCAAAGAATATGGAGTAAAAGCAGCAACCATAAGGAGAGCCCCAATCTAAAGAGGTATCCTGGGCTTTCCCACTGTCTTCCATACCGATTATACAGAAAAATAAAAACTCTAATTCAATCAACTCAAGACCCAGCTTTAATCACTCCAGAATCTTGTACCACTCAATTAGTAATTTTTTCTTTAGCAAAACTTTCAAAATTGTAATGTTATAAAATGAAATATTGGGTTAACAAACAGAAATTAATTAAATAAAAAATGATTAAAGCTTTCAAGTGCAGGCACATATTAAGCCTAGGTAGTGTAGATAAAGGTCCACAGTAACAAAGATGCTACACTGCCCACCTAATGGAGGCAAGTGGCCATGCAGCCAGGAATTTCTAATGGACTCTTTCTCCATTACAAATGACACTAAATGAGAATATTTTATATTTTCCCTGTAAAGTTATCAATTTAAAAGTCTATTTCTATTCTCAAGAAAAAAAGTTTATGTTTAAATAAAAAGGTATTTTCTAAGATTTACAATAATGAGGATATTTTGAAAGATCGCTTGCAATTCTTTTGATTCCTGATAATTTTCATTGCCTTATTACAGTCCTAAATTAAAAGTGATATTAAAAGTTTTGATATTTTACAAGCAAATATGAAGATTTGGAATGCAGTACAAAACCAGTGGTATTTAAACATTTGCTTCAATATGACATCCCATTTAAATGGTGCCAGGCCTTGTAGTGGCCTCTACAGGGGTATAAGCTAAGACAGCATCTTCAAATTTGGATCTATTTATCCAACAAAGATACATTCTGTGCCAAACTGTTCAGATAAACCCAAAAGGATGTTCACACTTCATTTGGTAGTAGTAATTGACTCCATTCTAATATTGGGCTAATATTTCTGGTGTTATTAATTTTTGTCCTCCAAATAAGTTAAATTAATTGTATCGTTTTATACACGGGTCATAGAATGGAGTCTCTGAGATGGCTTCCTCTTCCAAAATATATTGTATGTATTTCTCACAATACAACCAAAATTAAAATACAAAACAAGGGGAGAATCAATATCTCTAACTTCACTTCTCATTATACACTTCTAAATTTTTAACATTTTATACAAGGTGAAAGTAGAGTAACAGAAATGATGTCAGGTAACAGCATCTAATTTGTGCTAGAGGATATGCCCATGATTTCCAGAGAGTACTGAGTGACCTAGTTAGGTACCACGATGAACTCTCAGGCTAAACCATGAATCCAGACCCAGAAAATAATGTTGACTGCCACAAAGCTCGAGTTGACCTAGGACCTGAAAGAACTGACACAATGATAAGCTAAGGTGGAAATAAGCAATAAAATATATAGAGACACCTGAGCTGAAACTTAGCAGTACTAAGACAAAATAAGATATAAAATGCATAAATATGTTTTTATTTTAGGTTAAAATTCTGTTCAAGATTTTCTGAGTGACCTCTGCTGGCGGACAAACAACAAAATCTGACTGGTCTATTTATGATCATAAATGTCTAAAATTTATAATATAGAGGTCAGGGAGATAGCTCAGTAGAATAAGCACTTGCCTGGCAAGCACAAGGGCCTGAGTCCAATGCCTGGTTCTAAAATAAATAAATAAATAAATAAATAAATAAATAAATAAATAAATAAAATTTGTAATAGAGTTATCATAATTCAATTTGGTCAAAAATATATGTGTGCACTCTGATTTTGTAAAGATGTTTGTTTGTGTGTTCTGTGTATTTGGTTATGTGCTAGCATGTCATTCCATAAAAAGTTGTTCTTCCTTTTATCTGAGCTCAAAAGTTGTTCTCTTCTATGATCATTTGTACACAACACAATTAGAGATATAGAACTAAAAGTATGATTTCTTTTCATTTACCATCTGGTTAAGCGATATCTTAATGGGTTTACCCACAGATCATCAAAACTTTAAGATAGGGCAGGGGAGATGGCTCAGTAGTGTAAGTTCAGTACAAAACCAGTGGTGTTTAGACATTTGCTTCCATATGACATCCCATTTAAATGGTGGCAGGCCTTGTAGAGGCATCTACAGGGGTGTGAGCTAAGATGGCATCTTCGTGGCCTGAGTTCAATCCCTGGTTATATATATATATAAAAAAAGATTTGCTGAAGAGTAAGTGCTTGCCTGGCAATCACAGGGTCC